TGGGTCGATCTGTGGGTCGATCTGTGGGTCAGTCTGTGGGTCAGTCTATAGGTTGATCTGTGGGCCAATCTGTGGATCAGTCTGTGGGTCAGTCTGAGGGTCGATCTATGGATCAGTCTGTGGATCAGTCTGTGGGTCAGTCTATAGGTCGATCTGTGGGTCAGTCTGTGGGTTTTTTGGATGATGTTGGATTTTGATGTGGCAACCCAATTGAGTCCGAGAGACGAACGGATGGACGGACAGACAGATCAATCTCTCATTCTATCTCTCTCTCTCTCTCAATACTTCTGCAAGTTCTCTGATAAGCAGAGAGAGATCAAAACTACAAGTGTTTTATAAAATAAATCTATTTACCATTTAGTCTTTAAAGAAATGAGACGCTTTAAACTTTTAGAAGGAAAAACCGTTTAAGACGAGCGGTATGCCAATGCCCCCACCCCCACCCCCCACAGAGGGATTTGAACAGTGAATGTGTGTGGGGTTTTTTTTGTGTTTTTTTTAGACGAGTGTTTTTTTGGACTGGAATTGAACAGGAAATGCACATAAACCTTAACGTTTTTGGTGCAAGATATTCAAGTGGGTGGGAGTTACTCTGTTGAAAAGAACAGACATGATTGACAGATCCTGACGAGTGGAGGGAGCAATTCTATCCACCACCAGGAGCAATGGCGGAACCAGGAGGTGACCAATGGTGGCCTTGGCCACCAAAGATTAATCTCCAGTCACCCCAATCGTTTGAGGAAACTATATTTTTAATCAATATAAAAAATAGAAAGAATAGATTCTTTAAATGATTGAGGTGGTGGGTTTACACATATGTCATGTTGCTGTGTTCATTCGTACTCATCTGCTCACACAGACTCATGTTCGTGCTACTGTTCAGCGTAATGTTTTTATGCTACAGTGCTTAGTGTATTTTTAATTAATGTTTTTCTTAGTTCATATCTTAGATCTTATTACTGTTTTTCTTTTACATTTTATTGTTGGATGCAACTGGGACCCTGTGGGCATAATTTCGTTCCACCACATGTACCACATGTGACAAAGAAACTCCGACACTCTCTAAGGCTCTGATATATGGCGGCCATCTTGGATTTTGATGTGGCAACCCAATTTTTGACTGAGCCCTTTCTTATGCCTAGATGCAGCCACACACCAACATGGAAGTTGGCACCTCACTTATTTTTCAAGTTATGCTCACAACATGAACAGATGGATGGAAGGTATCTGCAATTCCCCTCTGTTCCCACTGTTTTAAGGAGATGCAATACTTCACACCAAGTGCTACAAAGAGAGTTAAAATAAAATATAATTATCTTTAAAAATTTTGACTGTAAAGAAATGTTCTTATTTTTTCCTCCCACTACAGTAAAAAATGTACTACAGAGCACATGGTACACTGTGTACTCATAACTTTATGATGTGACTATACTGGCGTTGAAAACTAACACATGCCATATCCGGAAACACTAAATCAAAACAGATTGTTTTTTATTAATTTCAGCCTGACTACATGCGACACATCAAGCATCACCTACACTACTTTAGCCACCGACACCGCTGAAGGATGTGGTTTAAAACGGCACCAATTTGTTGTTCACTACTAAACAACTGTAGTGGTCTCTGACAGACGCACTCCAAGAATCGGTTTCATCCTCAACCACTCACTGACCTGTTGGACCCCATTTACAATCCTCTTCCCACTGGACATGTCTAAACATTTGTCAGCATGCTTCAAGATAAATCAAATATGCTAATTTTGTTTCATTCGATTCCCAATTCCTTTGTTTGGATCCTCCATGTATTGACTGGTGGAAGCGTTATGAGCACAAAGCGTTTATTTCCCCAGTGAACGGTTAAGGCCTGTCTGGGCACGTTGCTCCAGCGCAGCTGAAAACAAACGCAGACGGCTCTCCACCCACTCCACAACAGGAGGCTGACGGAAGTTAGAAAGCAAACGCACCAAATGAGCCAGTTAAAGTGACGTTTAATCCATAGATCCTGTAAACTTCAACCGGAGGGACGTTAGTTTTTACTGTAAATGCTCATGAAGGTACCAACCTGAAAAACAATCGATACTATTTACTGGACTAAATCACAATATTCCCACCCAATGATACAATGCACTGACCTTATTAAATAAATGTTTTGCAAGTCTGATAAACCGATAAAACAAATCTAACTATAATGAAGCGATGCAAACAAAAAGTAAATGTAAAGTTGGTGATGCAGAAACAGACTGACAAAAAAAATCCTTTAAAGTTCAACAAGGTTAGTCTAACGAGAGAACATGAGGCACATGATACAACTGTCGACGAATTGTTACACAGCAATCAATAGCAACGGTCCAGACAAGAAAAGACTTTGGATACCATTTGATCTTGATTTGTGATCTTGACCTTAAAGCTGGGGTGATGAAAATATGTGATGTGCTGTCTCGTGGTGGTGCAAGTTTCATTAAATTACCTCGATTGGATCAGAAGTTATGAACCACATGAAAAAAAAGACCTCGTATAACATTTGACCTTGATTTGTGATCTTGACCTTAAAGCTGCATGATGAAAATATGTGATGTGCTGTCTCGTGGTGGTACAAGTTTCATTAAATTACCTGAAAAAAAAGACCTTGTATAACATTTGACCTTGATTTGTGATCTTGACCTCAAAGCTGGGGTGATGAAAATATGTGATGTGCCGTCTCGTGGTGGTGCAAGTTTCATTAAATTACATCGAGTGGATCAGAAGTTATGAACCACATGAAAAAAAAGACCTCGTATAACATTTTACCTTGATTTGTGATCTTGACCTTAAAGCTGCATGATGAAAATATGTGATGTGCTGTCTCGTGGTGGTGCAAGTTTGAAGGAGACATGTCTGTGTTGTGCGCTGTTTGTACCAACAACTTGCGAGTGCGGGGGGGGGGGGGGGGGGGGTCAGCGTGAGGGAAATGGAGCGCTACCTCGGTAATATTTTGGCTAGCGCGTCTGTGTTTCGCATTGATAGATATTTTTTCTAGTTTCAATTTTGAACAGTTAAAAATTTAAACAAAACCATAAACAAATAAAAAAAACGTAAATATTTCCACCAAAATATTCTGGAAACGAAACAAAAATGTTTGAAAAGGGAGCAGGAAGAAGCAATGGCTTATCCAGTCCTGTCCCTGAATTTACAGATTCTGAACCAGTTTTGTTAAAATAAATAAATAAATAAATAAGAACAAAAAACACAAAGTGTAAAAAAAGTGTAGTCAGAAGCACAAGATTATTATACCTTCACTTTGTTATACATCAAAGTCAAAGCAGCAGAATATTGTCCTCTATAATTTTCTCAAACATATCAACGAATTCCAGCTGAATTGAGACAAACTCATAAAAAACGCAAAAAAGGAAAACGAGAAAAAAAAAAAAATCAAACCTTATTATATTTGTTTAGCAAATGATTTTTATACATTTTTTTTTTTTAAATAAAAAAAGTGAAAAACACAGTTGAATCTCCGTACGACAACTATTCCACACCCGAATCCCTCGAACTCAAGTACAGTCGTTTTTAATATTTGTCCTAACTTGTGTTTTTTTTAATAAATCCTCTCGTAAATCAGTTTCTCTCTTTAATTTTGAACCACTTCTGTAAACACCTTGGAAGGAGTTTATTAAACATAATCGGTGCTGTTCCGAGTTCTACAAAATCATAACATTTTTAAATGTGCACAAACGTCATTAGTTGGATGAAAGTAATCGGACGCAGTTATTATAATTCAGCTTTGAGCATGGAGACCGGTTTGTGTTAGTTTTATACGAGTTTCCCCATAACTCAACACAATAATTCATGTATGAAACAGTATAACAAGTAAAGTGATTTCTTATTTAGGAGATGTTTTGTTTTATTCAGTGTTGTAATAGTTTTTGACATTTTGGCCTTTTCATTATTAATGAGCCTTCAAATGCAATTTGTAATCAAGCATCACCCCCAAAAAGCTGATTTCATAAACTCGCTTTATTTCGATACTGTTTATCGTGAGTTTTACATTATTTTTTATTTTCTTGTTACTAAATATTACAAATTTTGTTTCATCATAATTTAGTGATAATTTATTTTTGTCACACCATTTCTTTAATACTTGTAATTTAATTTAATACTTCCATTTTACTGAGGACCTGCTCCACACTATTACCAGAGCGATATAATGTGGTATCATCTGCAAACAAAGTAAACGATAACTTGGATACAATGCATATATCATTTACGTAAAGTAAAAAAAGTTTCGGACCCAGCACTGAGCACTGCTAGCTTAGCGCTACCTTTGACACTGGGGGGGGTGGGGCTTCAACGTGAGGGAAATGGAGCGCTACCTCTGTAGCTTTATAGCTAGCGTGTCGCTACGTCGGTGTCAGCAGTTGTCAACAGGGAGTGTGTGTGTGTGTGTTGGGGGGGTCAGTTCAGTAGGCAGGGTGCTCGGTTGTGTTGACAGGGCGGGGCGCCCTGCTTGTATAATGGTAAGGGAAACACTGCCATCATACATCCGCCTTCAACGGGCGTGTAAAGTAAAATTAAAGCCGGGGCGTCAAACCCACTTACAAAAGGGGCCAAAATTAAAACCTTTTTTCAAGGTTTATTGGGTAGGTAAGAAGTATTTTACATTTAAAACATCATACTGGGGGCCAAATAAGGTGTCAACGAGGGCCACATTTGGCCCCCGGGCCTCGAGTTTGACACGTATGCATTAGAGCATTAGCACTTGAGCGCATTATAACAAATTTTATTAAAAATAAAATGTTCCATTTAGGTCAAGCCGGCAGTTTGAATGTTCACTAACATCCAGACACCTAACACAACTCGTACCGTATCAAACAGAGAGAAGTGGCTGCAGATTGTACATAATGATTCAAATAACCCAGTAGACATCAACTTACATATTTTCCTTTGGTTTCTGTGGCGGCTTGTTGAAAAACTGGCTGCATTCTCTTGCAAACCCCACACCCTGCAACAAGAGAGGACAGAGACTCTCAAGTAATAAAAAGAGAACGATGCTGGTGAAGAGTCTGCCGTGCAGGGAATGGTCATTCTAGAAAGTTCCGTTAACGGCAACTGGACTTTGTGATTTTCTGAACACGTTTTCCTTCTCATTCAAAGAGCGTCTTAATTAATGAGAACATTTAGATAAAGAGGAGGCGGGATGAGGAGCAACACGTCTCGTTTGTTTGTCCAGGCTGGTCCACACACAGGAACCGTGTATTTTCAGTGACGCTTCACTTCTTATCGCACGGTCCGAGTTGTTCAGACTCATTTTAAAACACCTTTGTACTCGCTGGCTTTTCAAACAGCATGAGAGTTTACATCATTTTAAGGTTTTATTTTATGCCTTCTTATAGTTTTAACTGTTTTTATGGTCTTTGTGTGTGGTGTAATCTTTTTACAGTTTAGTGTGCGGCGCTTTGTCCACGTACAGTCGATATTTAACGTGAATTATAAATAAATTTGGTTTGACTAATACTTAACTGTCTACATTTTGTTTATCTGTAAAATGCACGCTGTTTTCAGTGAATTATACGTCTACTGACAAGAGCTGGTAAAAATAAAAAAAGGAGCAATCTCTCTCAAATATTACTTTACAGATAATTTAATGTTCACCGACTATATATTTAGTAACAAAATGGCAAAATGACTGAAAGGAAGTCAAAATGAATCCTTTCTAAACATGATTATTGATCAAGTCCAAAAAAAGATTTGTGCTCCTCACATGGACATTTTAAAGTAATTTAATATATTTAGGATCATATTTGTACAAACCGGATTCCAAAAAAGTTGGGACACTATACAAATTGTGAATAAAAACTGAATGCAATGATGTGGAGGTGCCAACATCTAATATTTTATTCAGAATAGAACACAAATCACAGATCAAAAGTTTAAACTGAGAGAATGTATCATTTTAAGGGAAAAATCTGTTTCCAAATTTCATGGCGTCAACAAATCCCAAAAAAGTTGGGACAAGTCCATTTTTCCCACTGTGTGGCATCCCCCCTTCTTCTTACAACACTCAACAGACGTCTGGGGACAGAGGAGACCAGTTTCTCAAGTCTAGAAATAGGAATGCTCTCCCATTCATGTCTAATACAGGCCTCTAACTGTTCAATCGTCTTGGGCCTTCTTTGTCGCACCTTCCTCTTTATGATGCGCCAAATGTTCTCTATAGGTGAAAGATCTGGACTGCAGGCTGGCCATTTCAGTACCCGGATCCTTCTCCTACGTAGCCATGATGTTGTGATTGCTGCAGAATGTGGTCTGGCATTATCGTGTTGAAAAATGCAGGGTCTTCCCTGAAAGAGATGACGTCTAGATGGGAGCATATGTTGTTCTAGAACCTGAACATAGTTCTCTGCATTAATGGTGCCTTTCCAGACATGCAAGCTGCCCATGCCACAAGCGCTCATGCAACCCCATACCATCAGTGATGCAGGCTTCTGAACGGAGCGTTGATAACAACTTGGGCTATCCTTGTCCTCTCTGGTCCGGATGACATGGTGTCCCAGTGTTCCATAAAGAACTTCAAATCGTGACTCATCTGACCACAGAACAGTCTTCCATTTTGCCACACTCCATTTTAAATGACCCCTGGCCCAGTGCAAACGTCTGAGCTTGTGGAGCTTGCTTAGAAATAGCTTCCTCTTTGCACTGTAGAGTTTCAGCTGGCAACGACGGATGGCACGGTGGATTGTGTTCACTGACAATGCTTTCTGGAAGTATTCCTGAGCCCATTCTGTTATTTCCTTGACAGTGGCATTCCTGTTTGAGGTGCAGTGACGTTTAAGGGCCCGGAGATCACGAGCATCCAGTAGAGTTTTACGGCCTTGACCCTTACGCACAGCGATTGTTCCAGATTCTCTGAATCTTTTGATGATGTTATGCACGGTTGATGATGATATCTTAAAAGTCTTTGCTATTTTACGCTGGGTAACACCATTCTGGTATTGCAACACTATCTTTCTGCGCAACAATGGTGGAATTGGTGATCCTCTTACCATCTTGGCTTCTGAGAGACACTGACACTCTGAGAAGCTCTTTTTATACCCAATCATGTTGTCAATTGACCTAATTAGTGTTAATTGGTCTTCCAGCTGTTCGTTATATGCTCAATTTCCTTTTTCCAGCCACTTATTGCTACTTGTCCCAACTTTTTTGGGATTTGTTCACACTGAAATTTTGAATCAACATATTTTTCCTTTAAAATGTTACATTTACTCAGATTAAACTTTTGATCTGTCATCTATGTTATATTACGAATAAAATATTGACATTTGCCATCTCCACATCATTGCATTCAATTTTTATTCACAATTTGTTTAGTGTCCCAACTTTTTTTGGAATCCGGTTTGTATTTCTAATTACAATATGGACACGCAGTTTTGGAAAAATAAGACCACGTGTTGCGGTTACAATGATCGATTATTAAAATCAATAAAAAGACTCACAGGGAGCGAAGAACATCATGAGGACCGGCTTTTCCTCTTTCTTCAGGAGCTTCCTGAAGTCCTTGACGTGGAAGGAAAAAGAACATTTAGAAACAAAATACATTTTGAACTGTAGTTTTCACTGTTTAAGAACATTACTCATCACGACTGGATGTCAAAAATACACAACAGTTTGTATCATTTTGTCTGGCAGTCACATGAGAATAACAATCAAGTCGTCCCATCAGAAAAACAAAGGACCTCGTAACGGTTTCTTCTCCTCCTCAACGTTGGAACATTCAGAACTTTATTCCGACATCTTCAAGAAGCCCCAAGGCAAACGGCGCAGCGGCCATGTTTTATTTTCTGTTCATTCAACTCAAAGCCTCTCACGCTGCCGTTTTCACTGAGGTTGTAAAGAACTGTGTTTTCATACGTCAGCTGACTTTGGTGGACAAAAGCTGCGTGAAAAGGTTTCCAAGTTGTAAAAACGGGGACGTAGAGCAGGAGGTGCACCTTGAACAGTGAATGTTTGTCGCTTTTCACGTGAGTTACACTTTATACAAGAACAGACGTAGTTACTCGTTTCTTTCCTTGTCTGAAGTAGCAGAGTGACAGATCCAGGTGAGTGGAGGGAGCAGTTTTATCCACTACCAGGTGCAGTGGCAGAGCCAGGGGGTGGCCAGTGGTGGCCTTGGCCACCTTAGATTAATCTTTGGCCACCCCAGGGAAAGGGACGTTTTTACATCTAGCTGCAGCTACACACCAAAATAGAAGTTGGCATGTTGCTTATTTTTCCAAGTTATCCAAAACTTAAGGTTTAAATATAAACATATATCGGAGTTTGACGTGGCAACACAATTTTTGTAAGGAACATTTTTTTTGGTTGTAACCACATCCCAAAATAGAAGATGGTACCTCAAATGTTTTTCAATGCTCATAACATTTACAGACAAGAGACGGATGGAGGGTATTTCCACCCCCCCTCATTTATGACATTCCTGTACACCCTTGTGGGTGTTTCTGTGTGGAGAGGTGGTTTTCATAGACCGTGTCAGAAACTAATGAAGCTCTTAACAGAGAGAGAAACCCTGAACAACCAGCACAACTGATGCTTCTTTGTAATTCTTTTAAAGCTCCAAATATGTGTAAAGGTCATTACTTACTTTTTCTGTTTCGATGTGGATGACATCTTTGGCCTCGGGGTTCTCCTCCCACAGCGGGGGCCCCGATGGGTCTTTCAAAAATGCTACCATAGACTGGAAAAGGCCAAACAAAAGAGTTATCGATCAGATCAGGTCTAACACGGTATTTCCAAACAAAAGCTTCGTTTGACATTTAACGCTGTGAACAATAGAGTGATGATTAACGTAAACATTAGAGAAGTTGCTCCTAAATTAAATTCTGGGCAATTGAGGCTCGTGTAGATTAACATCTTAATGTGTCCAAGAGTTATTTCAGCGCCTTTAAGTGTCTTGTAAATGGGCTTGCTGTGAATATAATGAGCCATATGTCTGTGGAGGCAACAGAGGAAATATTTTATGAGCGGCGCAGCAACAGTGACGCACAAACGTGGCAGAATATTTAATGGTCCTGAATTTATCAGGACCATTTTGTAACGGTTTATGATGAGAGTTGGGGAGTTGTGTTGTTAAAGATGTCATTAAGAATGGTACAAAAGGTAATTTTAGATCTTGCTAAACATTTCAGCGGTGCAATCATTTCTCTTTTGAGCCAACACAAATACATTACCCCATGATTTTATCACGAGGATTAGAATTGCTGTAACGCACCTCCCCCTGGTTTACCAAAGAAAAACATCTGCTGGTTCAAACCACAAAGAGCAGTTTACACCAGTTGAGTCAATTTACGCTGCACGAGCTACTTGATGCCTTAAATCAATTTCAGGCTCCTTCTGTCAACTTTTAAAAGTTCTCAGTACTTGTTTCATTTTTATGAGTTGCTTCAAGGCGGCACGGTGTCACAGATGCAGTGATTCCCCTACCATTATACAAGCAGGGTGCACCGCCCCGTCAACAGAGCCGAGCGCTCCGTCAGGATTGATTGACGGACGGACGGATTGACGGACTGACGGACGGACTGACGGACGGACTGACGAATTGACGGATGGATGGATGGATGGATGGATTGACGGACGGACGGATTGACGGACGGATTGACGGACGGATTGACGGACGGAT